TGAGAACAAGAGATCAGCGATCTGAACACGCGATTTGAAACTAAAGATCAGCGATCTGAAGCCGAAGATCAGGATGGCTTGAGCGTGCGATCTGCGATCTGGCCACGCTATTGGAGAATTCTGACGCGTGCGATCTGCGATCTGGCCACGCGATCGGAGAACTCTAACGCGTGCAATCTGCAATCTGGCCACGCGATTGGAGAATTCTAACGTGTGCGATCTGCGATCTAGCCACGCGATCGGAGAACTCTTACGCGTGCGATCTGCGATCTGGCCACGCGATTGGAGAATTCTGACGCGGGTTTGAGATCTGAGCACGTCATCAGGGAACTTAGACGTAGGTTTGAGACTTGCATGGGCTAACAAACTGTTGACACTTGATTTTGGACGCCAACGACTCGCACGTGCAAAGTGCTAAGAGAGTCTTAGAAATTACACGTGATAGATCCATGAGATTTGCATATGTAGCTAAGATTATATATGTTGCAGAAAACATAAATAATAGGCTAACAAGAGAGGTTTTTATAGTGGTTCGGATGCTCAAACAAGCGACTCCTACATCCATTGTTATTTTATTGATCTCTGATTATTTCTATGATATTGCCCATAAGGCATACAAAGGTAAAAAAAATACAGTGTTTACAGAGAAAAAGAATTGAGCTCAAATCTATGCTTAACTCTCATATGCCCAACCTCCCTTTTCAAGCAGAGAAGTGTCAATTTATACACCTTTAAACTCAATGTAATGAGTGTTTTGTAAGTTGTCTTGTCACATGGACAACTCTCGTCCATTCATCTCTTGAAATGAGATAGGGTTGATATGAATATCTTTGAGGTATGGGCTTAGCAGTTAGTACAAAAAGACATTTATTAAACTGACATAAGTGTGACTTTTTAGGCATAACAAGAAATAACATTATTAATCGAAGGTTAATTATGTATTATAAATTTTATTTGCATTTCTTCAAGAGAAGAAATTTAACCAAACAATCTTTCAGGCAGCCATCCTGCTTGACCACATTTGTATTAAGAGAATAAAGTAGGCTGATGCAAGAATGATAACACTTCGAGTCCATTAACAGGTAAGGACATATTGATTTTTCACTTTCAAAATCATTCTTTAATTTGACAGACGTTAGTATGAGATTAACAGATAAGGGGTAAATATGGCATTTTATGCTATAAAAATTATAAATTATTTAAAAAAATTAAATCTTATTTTATTTCACCAATTTAATCAAATCCCTAAAACAAATTATTTTTAAAATTTAAATTGAAATTTAAGAATCTTCTAGCAAAACGCCAAAACCTAAACATCCCAACATTCGATCTGTTCCAAATTGTAACTATCGCACCCCACTAATTAGGGGTGTAAACTAGCCAAGATGAGCTTTGGACTAATCAAGCTCGGCTCAGTTGCTATAGTATCCAGTTCAAACTCGAGCTTAAGCTTGGCAGTTTGAAAAATTGAACTTGAGCTCAAGCTCAGTATTGAAAAGGGTAGCTCGAGATCGGGCTTGAGCTCGGTTAATCAAGGGACGAACAAGTTTTTTCCCCTGTCTTGTCTGGCCTGCCATCATTATGGACAGTTAGACAACTGGATCAAAAGAGGCATCTGATAAAATGATGCTTCGTGCTGCGAATTGGGCCTAGTTCTTTTTCATCCCACCTGTATTGGCCCGATTGAGCTATGTCTTTTTTGTACACAAACAACGTCAAATATCTACACACAATCATAGCATCAGTCTGGCCTTGTTAATTAAATAGGCTACTTCGTTTAGGCTAATGTTGGCCCAATCTATTGTATCTCTAATGAATGAATTTGGAAAACTCCACGAGAGGAACAAGAGGATTTAGGCACAAATATGTCATGAAGAGAAGTGTGATTATTTTGATAGTATAAGCTTATTGACTATGGACAATACTACACTTATAATCCAATCTCATAATTTTTCTCTTACAATCCTGATGTGACAGTTCATAATTGGTCAACTTGCAAATAGGTCTCGTCTGCTTACAATAGGTCTCACCTATCCAATTGCGAACTATCATATTAGGGTTGTAAGAAAAAGTTTTTAAGATTGAGTTGTGAGTCAATCTTTACTGTATTGACAATTTTTGTTCTATGAGAAACCTTGAAATATTAATGAATCCAAATTCATCATTAATTGCTTATAATTGACCTATAACCTATTCATTTTCCAAATCTTTCTTTGAAGAGTACATATTGTTTAAATACATGAATTTCATCCCAATATTTGAAACACCTGCTTATTGCTATCTGCACAAAAAGTCATCTCTGATGGCACTTGTTATGAATAAAATCACACTGACATCAGCATCACCAATTAGAATGAGCTGCCACTCTCATCAATCAAAGTTTGACAAGCACTAAAGGACAAAATAACATTAGTTGTCAAAACCAAACCAATCTAAGCTGTTATTATGACCATTTATATCAATCCTATCCCATTTTAAGATCAGGATTAAAGAGGGGTTCCCACGTGTTAAGACAACTTTCAAAAACACTCATTACATTAGATTCATCTATATAAATGGACAGCAATCTTCATCAAAGGGGGGCTGGATAGATGAGAGCTGAGCATACATTTGAGCTTCAACCATTATTTTTTTCTGTAAACAAAGCATTATTCCATCTTTGTATGCCTTACAGGCGATAGTAGAAAAATAGTAAGAGAATAATAAAATACAGTTGACGTAAGATTCAAGCATTTGAACCACTATGAAAATCTCTTTTGTCAATATTTTATTTATGCTTATTCAAATATATATCATCTTAACACCGTAATCAACTTATTATAATCTGCTCACGTGTGACTTCTTAACATTTTGAACGTACGAAGTTGTTGGTGTCAAAATTATACATCAACAACACTAAAGTAAAAACCATAAATTGTGGCGGATCAACCTAATGCGATACCATCTCCACATTTTGTTGTGTCAAGAACCACTGATGAGTATGGATATCATATCAGTTTATGTATAGAAGTGTGCACGAACCTCCATTATTCCAACTAGCAAAAGCACAAATTATTCTGTGTGTCGCTTTGGCCATAAGTTTTCAATTTCGCTTTGTATATGATATGAGCCAGATATTTTATTCTATCTTCATCTCCTCCACAGCCCTTTTAAAACTGTTGTTGTCTCTACTTGTACCGATGAAGTGCTGGATTCCTCATGTGTGGAAAGTGGAAAATTTTCTCATTATTAATTTGTGTCTTTGTGTTTGCATAATTGCACGCGACATGTAAAAACGATGGGGTCAGTCAAAAATTGTAGGTGGAAGATATTGTGACTATCCATTCTTGTTTTTCACGTTAAGCACAAACCATATATTAAAAGGAAGATTGATAATAAATTGCTTTCTCGTTTGTTCACCAAGCGGGGATCTTTTATGGACCAACCAAATTATTGGTATTACAGTCTGATTGTCTATCATTCATGGATGTTTAAACAAATTAATTAAGGTAGATTGATAATTTATTTTTATTTTTATTTTTTTGAAAAACGGAGAAAATAGAAGATTTTCTCTTGATTTGGTGAAGCAAAATCTATAAGGTGTTAATTAGGTATGAATTATTGTCACAAGTTGTATGGTGGAAACTTTAGACAAGTAAATGATTTCTTCTCCCGTGGGTTTCTTGCTCTATCTTTGTTAATGGTGATCCTTTGGAAAGATTGGAAAAGAGTAACAGAGGGTTCTTTTACAATTCTTTTTGACTCAGTTCCACGCAAAGTGGTGGAGTATCCACCGACCAGTTCAGTCTAATTTCAAAGTACGCCTCAGCTTTGGATTCTCCCTCAACGGTTTGTTCCCATTATTATATCCTTTATTTGTTCAAGTTTCAAAGTAAAACGCGGCCTGTTTAGTCTCTTCTGTAGGCTCCCTTGTGTACAGTATTTAACGACGATTCTGAAACGAATCTCGATCCCCTTGTGTTAATCTCTTTTAAATTTATCTTATTTGGACCGTCAAAACAGTTTATAGATATAACAGATTTTGATTAATAAAAAAATAAGTGAAAACGTTTATGGTGTTTAAAAAAACACCTGGAATGTTTTAAACATTTGGGATATCAAAAAGCTTATCCTTAAATACATCATGCATCACCATTAAAGAAACAATAATAAACCTGCAAAAATTTGAAACGTTATCACCTCAAAGTCAAGATAAATCATTTATTCAGATTTTAAACCTGATTTCATTGTTATCCTATAAATAGACATCCATTTTGAATATTTTGAGACTATATTAATATATCAATATGTGAAGCAATCAATGATCAAATTATAAGATTAGGTTCTGGTATGCCCAAGAACCAGGGCTAGCGTAAGCATGCATCAGCAAGAACCAATCAGAATTCAGAAAGATTTTCTGATGCCAGGATGCAGTCACGTCTCGCAAGGATCAAAGGGGTAAGGCCATCATCAGTAAGGCAGGTGAACTCCAAGCCTATGAGTGGCTAGGAATTGTCCACCTGCTGAAGCTGTGCGCGATTTAAGGATGCCTCCCGTACAGGCAACCAATGGGAAGCAGGTTATGAATTGTACCACACCTACCCGCATGCAAAATCATGATTGCCATCCTGGATCCTCCCATTATAAATAGAGGGCTCTCCTCCATTTTACAGGATTGGCTCATTCACCATCTGAACTCTCCCTCTCTCCCTCTCTACCCATTCATTCTCTCTATTGTAATTCAACTCGCCGAGTGCAACCTGACTGTAACCCGCTATTAATATAATCACAGTGGACATAGGATTCACCTTAGAGCATCTGAACCACTTTAAAAATTGTTATCCGCTTAATCTCTTTCTTTGCATTTTCATATCATGTGTGATTTCTAAGTCCGTTTGGCACTTCACACGTGCGAATAGTTGGTGCCAAAATCAAGCATCAACAGTTTGGCACTAGCAGGAGGGCGTGATTTAGTATCTGCTCTTCATCAGAAACCTCTGACCAATTCCGTCCACCAGCCAATGGCTCGCGGTTTCGAAATTGAGCGACCTAATATCGACAATGAGGAAGTTCCCCAGGTACATAATGACACTTCTCCTGAAGTGCCACCAGCCCAGCAGAGTATCATGGCAGATATTCCTTCGAGCTCACAACTTGACCCAACCGTAATGAATTACCTAGAGAGAGTCAACAATACTCTCCAAACGGTTAGCCCAAGGCTGGACCGTTTGGACCAGGTCGTGCCACAAGAGTCTAACGAGGCGGTGCCACCACCAAAGATGCCTGCAGGTCACGTGAAGATGCGAAAAAGGGCAAAGGCCTGAACCGCGCGCACTATAGCGCGTAAAAGTAAGGGGAAACAAGTGGCAACCAATGAACCATGAGGCTCCGAGTGGCCAGCGGACACAGGTCGCGCAGCGGGTAGAATACCCGTGGCATTGCAACTTGGTGACATGTCGCAGCTTGAGCCGTCCCACACTATACAGTAAGGGCACACCTGTAAAAGTGCAGGCCGGGGGAACTCTCGGCCTCCTCAAAGTAATGGTCCTGACCATCGCTATCAGGGGAACCCCCACCATCTGCAGGTCGGTTCTAACCATCGCAGGGGTGGGGAAAATTTCCCGAGCCATTTGCTACCCTCACACAGCTCTAACCAACATGTGTTAGGGCGTGCCGGAGCTTCCGACCGAGCAGCGGAAGGGCCCAACCTTCGGTCCTTCTTTAATGGCAACCGTGAGGGTCGAATCCACGTTGCGAAAAGTAACCCCCCGATAGCTCTGCTATCTCAAATCGAGGAGTTGCAGCGATAATTAGATCAGCTCAAGGCTCAACAGAACGAACAGGGTAAGGTCGCTGAAGCGTCCCCTTTCTTTCCTATGGTACTAGTTGCTCCTCTCTCGTCAAGTTCAGGATGCCCGACATGCGGGCATTTGACGAAAATTCTAATCTACAGGACCACCTCTACGAGTTCAATGACCTTATGGAACTCCACTAAGTCTCTGACTTGGTCAAATGCCGCTGCTTAGCAGTGACATTAACCGCCCATGCCAAGCGCTGGCATGGGTCGCTCCCTGAGGGAACAATAAGCTCATGACAACAAATGAGCTCGTTATTCTTAAGGCACTTCCAGGCAAACAGGAAGTTCTCAATGCCGATGAGCTATCTGAGCAATATACAGCAGGAAATGGATGAGTCCTTCTAATCTTATATAGACAAGTTTCATTGCGACTGACTTATGGAAAGAACTACAGTCAAAGGATGACGTTTCCCTCACTCGTTTCTACAACCTCACCGAAAAGCATCTCCGAATAGAAAATTTTGTGGCTGCTCTCAATCGCCACAACCCTCGTCCGTTAACAAGTGCTCCCGACCGATGGGAGAATAGTAGAAGGGCTGATCGCGATTAGGCTAATGACGATCAGCGAAAAGGGAAGAAACAACGATTCGAGCCCAAAAAGTCTTACGCCTCATTTCCTCGTCGCGATTGCGACAAAAATTAGTACACTCCTTTGAATGCCTCAATATTGACAATTCTGGATAAATCAGAGGAGGCCAACCTGCTCGGAGAACCGGAGCCCATCAAGAATCCCCCTTCAGCCAGGAAGAGCAAAACATACTGCCGCTATCACCGGGACAATGGGCATCACGTTGATGAATGTCAGGCTCTCAAGCAAGCAATCGAAGACCTCATCAAACAGGGGCACTTTAAGGAGTATGTTGACGGTCCGACTCCCGTTCGGGAAAAAGACCAAGAGGAACAGGGGAAAAGGCACCGTGGTCGCAAGGGGCTCTATTGTGTAGGGATCATTTTTGGGGGGCCCTACCTCGCGGGGAACTCTCGAGGTTCCCAGAAAAAGTATGCTTGGGAAGCTCACCATGACCCCTTGAGTGTAATGAGCAGAGAGCCACGACCTGCTAAGATCCATAGGGAAGAAGAAATTACCTTCTCCGAAAAAGACGCAATACGACTACATCACACCCACGACGATGCACTCGTCATCACGCTTGAAGTAGGCTGGTGTGAGGTCCACAGAATGTTGGTCAACAATGGGAGCGTCGTGAATATCCTGTTCCAGTAAGCCTTCGAAAGAATGCAATTAGATGAGGCAACTTGAAGCCTACCTCCTTCCCCCTCTACGGTTTTACCGAGGATCACCTGATTCCCAAGGGAACGATTGTATTCCCTATCACGTTAGGAGAAACCAACGAAGTGATGAAGGTGACGAAGTTCTTTGTGGTAGATTGTCCGTCTGCCTTCCTTTGACATCCTAGGACGACCTCTATTACAGAATTTCAAGGTTGTCACCTCTATCTACCATCTGAAAATAAAGTTCCACACCTCAACAGGGATCGAGGAAGTGCAAGGATCTCAACGTGAATCTCACGACTACTATATAAGGGCAGTCCAGATGACGTGCAAGGGAAAGGGGAAGCCAATGGGTGCCCCTAAACACGCCATACTAATCAATAGGATTGAACCATGACCTGGACCAGTAAAGGATAACATGGATCCTCGCATCCAGGAGTGTCCTCATAACGGGCCAGTTGAGGACCTATCTGAGGTGTCGGTCGATGAAAGCAAGCCGACCAAAGTGTTAAGAATCGAGAGTAATCTCAACTCGTAGCTCGTCGAAAACCTGACAAGCTTCCTCAGAAAAAATGTCAATATTTTTGCATGGACTCACGTCAATATGGTCGAGATCAACTCAAATATAATATGCCATGCTCTAAACATTGACAGTGCAGTCAAGTCAGTCCGCCAGAAGAGAAGAGCAATAGACCCTGAACGCTATGCCGCCTTGAAAAGTGAGGTGGATAAACTCCTCTTGAACGGGTCCATTCGAAAGGCACTTTACTCGAGCTGGGTTGCCAACCCGGTCTTAGTAAAGAAGCCCAACGGCAAATGGCGAACCTATGTCGACTTCACCGACCTCAATAAAGCTTGTCCAAAGGATAACTTTCCTGTGCCAAGGATCAACCAGCTTGTTGACGCCACTTCTAGGCATGAGCTACTAAGCTTTATAGACGCCTACTCGAGATATAATCAGATCTCGATGTACGCATCAAATGAAGAGCATACCTCGTTCATTATAGATCAGGGACTATATTGTTACAAGGTCATGTCTTTCGGCTTGAAGAAAGCTGGGGCAACTTGCTAGCGGTTGGTTAACCGTATATTTTCCGAATAGATCGACAAAATAATGGAAGTCTATGTTGATGAAATGCTAGTTAAGTCGCATCTCGCTTCAGATCACATAACGCATCTTGCTGAAATGTTCGACGTGCTCCGAAAGTACAAAATGAAGCTGAAGCCTCTCAAATGCTCATGCGGGGTATCATCGGAAAAGTTCCTAGGGTACATGGTTAACCAACGGGGAATCAAAATCAACCCCAAAAAGATCCAAGCTCTCCTTAATATGAAAAGCCCCACCAGCAAAAAGCAGGTTCAGAGCCTGAATGGCAGGATATCAGCTCTAAATCGCTTCATATTGAGAGCAATAGATCGTTGCTTGCCATTTTTTAATGTGCTTAGGGCCAACAAGAAGTTTGAATAGACTCCAGAGTGCTAACATGCCTTTTAGAGTATAAGGGAACACCTCGGAAGACCATCTCTCATGTCCAAGCCTCTTCCCAAGGAAGTTTTACTCTTGTACCTATCCGTCTCCCAACATGCGGTCAGCACTACCCTCATTTGGGAAGAAGGCAGAGTTCAGTGGCCATTATATTACGCAAGCAAGCGACTGTTGGACGTCGAAATGTGATACCCAGAAATTGAGCGATTAGCTTATGCCCTACTGATCGCCTCCAGAAAGCTGTGACCCTACTTTCATGCCCACACAATCTATGTTCTGACCAGCTACCCGCTTAGGCAAGTCCTTCAAAAGCCGAAGGCTTCGAGTAAGTTACTTAAGTAGGCAATGGAATTGAGTCAGTTCGATCTACATTACAGACCGAAAGCGACCATTAAAGGGTAGGTTGTTGTCGATTTCATCTCAGAGTTCTCATACCAGCCCAATCGAGGACTCGAACAACCAACCAGCGAGGTCGTCCAAGAGACCGCTTAAAAACTGTCAACCTGGAGCCTCTATGTTGATGGTTCTTCGAATAGAAAAAAGATTGGGGTAGGTCTTCTCCTCCCTAGTCCCGAAGGGATGCGCATTTATGGAATCCTCCGGTTCGAGTTCCAGGCTACTAACAATGAGGCTGAGTATGAAGCGCTGCTCACTAGTCTGCGACTAGCAAGAGAAATGGGATCTAAGGCGATCAGCATTCACGGTGACTCCCAGTTGGTCGTTAATCAGATCTCGAGAGAATATCAAGCCAAGGAAAAGAACATGATTAACTACATAAAGAAAGCAAAGGCCGCACTCGACATTTCAAGCACTTTACGATCACAAATCTGGAGAGACAGTAACTTTGTCATGGACGCCTTGGCAAAAATAGTCTCATCGCTAGACTCGGATGTGTCAGACAATATCCCAGTCCGGCACATAGGAATCTCAAGCATTTGCTCGCCTGAACCAACAGTAGCCACAACTAATCAGTCTCTTGGATGACACCAATCATTCTGTATCTCCGAGATGGGACACTGCCTTACAACAAAATTGAGGCAAAAATCCTTCGCACCAAAGCTGCTCGTTACACCCTTGTCGGGGATCAGTTGTACAAGCGGGGGTTCAGCGCCCCTCTCCTCCGATGTGTGACCGACGAGGAAACTGATTATATTATGAGGGAGATACATGAAGAGATCTATGGTACTCACACTGCTGCTCGATCCTTCACTAATAAGATTATCCGCCAAGGATACTATTGGCCCCTACTTTAGGAAGACACTTTCAACTTTGTAAAAAAATGCGACAAGTGTCAACAGTTCGTAAACATCCTACGAGCTCCTTCTCATCAGCTGACTACAATGGCCAGCCCCTGGTCATTCTCTATGTGGGAAATTGACCTTATTGGGTCTATGCCCACTAAGAAGGGGGGCGTCAAGTATGCCGTGGTCGCGGTAGATTATTTCACAAAATGGGCAGAAGTCAAAAGCCCCTAGCTGTAATCACTACCAAAAAGCTCAAGGACTTTGTCTTCAAGAGCATAGTGTGCCGATATGGAATTCCTCATACTCTCATCTCTGATAACGGTAAGCAATTCGACAACGAGGAATTCAAGCAGTTTTGCGATGAGTTAGGGATCCACAAAAAGTTCACCTCAGTCATCAGACCACAAGCCAACGGTCAGGTTGAAGCTGTTAATAAAATCATCAAGCACACCTTGAAGGCTAAGCTTGGCACTGCCAAGGGTAATTGGGTCGATGACCTCCCTGAAGTTCTGTGGGCATACAGAACGACTCCAAGAACCTCTACTTCGGAAACGCCCTTCTCGTTAGCATATGGTTACGAAGCAATGATCTCGACAGAAGTGGGGACCGGTTCATTTCGGAGAGACTTGTTCAACAAAACAGACAATGAAGCACTTCTACGTGCAAGCCTAGACCTAGTTGAAGAACATCGCGACAAGGCTCGGTTAAGAATAACATCTTACCAGCAGCGTGCAAAAAGGTTTTTCGACTCAAAGGTTAGAAGAAGAGATTTCTAGGTTGACGACCTGGTTCTAAAAGAAGTCTTTCTCAGTACAAGGGAAACAAGCGCGGGGGTATTATGACCTAACTAGGAAGGTCCGTACTGCATCGCCAAAGTGATACGACCAGGGACATATCACCTCAAGAGGCTTAACAATTTTGAAGTACAGCGAGCTTGGAACGTCGAACATCTTCGCCCCTATTATCAATAATTCCAGGCTCGCTCTCAGTCTTCCATTTCTTTTACTTATAAAGTTTTCCTTGTAACCTTTATGAATGATATCGTTCTTCTTCACCTTGAATAAATGTCTTACATGATCTTGTTCGTTGTAATATTTTTACAAGTTTCTCGATGAGATGTAATACCAGTTTTGTAAAGCACTCAAAATTGTAAAAAGAAACTCTTTTCATTCATGATTTACGAAAGTACAGTGGATAGCCAAAAAAGCAGGAAAAGATAAACAAATCACCGGTCTTCATCTCCAGGATCTGCAGACGTGACCTCGTTGGCCCCTAGTTGGTCGCTGGCTGTCAAGTCAACCGCTAGATCCTTAGGAACATATTCCTCCGGAGTGGGCTCTTGTCCCCCGGCGTCATCGTCAGCTCGGGCCATGGAAGCGAAGATGTCTTGATAATCAGGCGGGAGGTCAGAGAGATCCATTCCTGGGTTCCTTGGCTGCAAAGCATAAATGACCTGAATTGCCCAATCAGTGGCTTTCCTTTCAAGCTCAAGATTTTGCCGCTTCATCTGGTAGTCAGCGAAGCGACCTGCCCTCGGGAAAGCTCGAGGTCTGTTTCCAACGCTCTCCTCTGTTTCTCAGAGGTCTCCCACAGTCGAGCTCTCTCTTTTCTCCGTCTTCACGAGACGCTCTGAGTTCGCCTTCAGCTCATTCTCTTTCTCGTCATCCTCTTTGGTGAGTCTGGCTACTGTTCTTTGGAGCTGTTTGACTTTTTCGCCTCTCCTTTTGAGCTCAGCCTTCTGGAAATCCACGGTACTAAGGGCAGAGTTTTTCTCCAACATATATTGATTTGCCTGGAGGTTGAGCGACCTTGCCTCCGCGGCCTGATCCTCGAGGTCCTTCTTTAGTTTGACATTCTCCTTTTTCAGGTCGTGGATCCCTCTGGCATAGTCTAAGTTGACCTTCTACTGGGCCATGTGCAAAGTGAGTAGGGTCTACAAAAGGAAGAAAGCAAGAGTTAACTCCCATTTTTCTGAAAATTATTAGGGCCAGAAAATCAACCAAGTTTGAAGTCCTTGATGAGGACGGATCGCCCTACCTGGCTTTGCAGCTGAAGAGTAATGGTCAGCAAGTCCGTAAGCCGAGAAGCCAAGAACTCCTCAAAGGCCGAGGCCAGTTGGCACTCTAGTGGGGTGTACACCACTAGCTACAAGTGCTCTGGAAGTTGCCCTATGGAGTCTAACACTGGCGTATCTGCCTCCGTAGGAAATGGCAACTCATCAACTCGCTGCTTGCCTGCTCTCTTGTGGGTGACCACGGTTTC